CTTTCCACCATGTCTCCCCCACTCATTTCAATTTCTCCGGCACCGTCGCCGAATATCGTTGCATCGCCGCCCAAGGACATCACCAGAACTACATTTCAACCCGATTCTTGCGGCTTCACCATCTCCCACCAACCTCGAGCTCGCAGTCAAGAATAAAATTTCTCCAAGGCCGCTAGAAGTGGCCGTTCAAACCATTGCCAATGAAATCTCAGCCACTACCTTGAAGAAATTACCCCACGCATCTTCACCACATTTAGCTTTCTTCCCGGAGCTCGGTGACTATCCAGTGTTGGCCGGGCAAGACACTCATATCCAGAGATATCTGCTTCCTTCCGAGGGGTCCCCCACCGGAATCTCTCCGGTCAGTCTACGATCAAAGGCGAATTCCGAAAACCCAGATCTTGAACCTGGTCAAAACCGACAGCTGCCAGGTACTTCGAAATCCCAACCAAGTCTCGCAAGTGGATTGGGCAAGTTGGACAATATACCAACTTTTGGGCCTCCAGCTGCTCCATTAGATGGGCCTCAGTCCTATGGGCCTTTCTCATTTGGTTCCTTAGGCATTTTTTCTGGGCCCATTCCCTCTCAAACCCCTTATCCCCAGCCCGCTAATAATATCCCCACAGCCCACAAATCTTCAACTCTCAACCTAAGCCCAATTTCCCCCAGCCCACCCCGTCACCTTCAGCAAACTTCCCTCTCCCCCCTGCTGCAAACCTCCCGTCCACGACCAATGCTACCCCGTCGCCGATGACCGGCGACACCCAGCCATACACCGGCGCCGGCAACCCCTCAGTCCCCGGAATATCACTGCCTGCCGGCGGCCCTGCCGGAATTGTCCCGGGGTCGAATTTCACGGCCGGGATTCTCGGACCCCGGCCATCTTCAACCTCTCCGACTGAGCATCCCACCGGAGTAACCTCTCTTGCTGCCGGAAATTCTGATCCGGCCATTTGGTATGTGCGTGAAGACGGGGTAGTTGCTGCGAGCCCGAACCCTATGACCGTGGGTCACCTTATCGGAATTCCTTCGACCGAGATATCACCGACGGGCCCATCTACAGCTATCCCCGGCGCAGTCGGGGCCCTCCCGGGCACCTCCACCGGGCAGCTTTCTTTCCGGGAGGCCATTACGGGGAAAAGAGTTACCTGCACACCATAACAGAACAACCACACGTAGCCACGAAAGAGAGAAGAAGACAAAAACAAAAACAAAAACAAAAACAAAAGAGAAAAACAAAGATGAAATGAAAGAACAAAAAATCTAAAAAAACAAAAATAAAGAGAAACACAGAAAATAAGATCAACACTAAAACTAAATATCCTACTTGCCTTCCCGGCAACGGCGCCAAATTTGTTGTGTACAAATTGTTATTTTATCGAGTATCGAATCAAGGATTTGTTTCCCGGGTCGATCTCTCGAGGAAGACGGTTCAGAATCTAGCTTTGGTGTCGATTACACACGAAAAGAAAATAAATCCTAAACACTCTAATCAGATAAGGGGATTTGAATAATTATCAGCTAAGAAATAATAAAGGCAATAATCTACCTAAAATATAAACTAACAAAGATGAAGAAGCTAGGGAGTCGAGGATAATTGATTCAAGTTCTATTCGCAAAACCGGGACATTAATCGTTCTATTTCAGATTGACACTCTCATTTAAACATCTAGCGGTTCGCTCCCAATAACTCTTCGTAACAAGGAGATTGAACATAGACGAACAAGCTCGAGTATACAACACATGCCATTTATCCCAATCCCAATAACATTTCGTAACAAGGGACGGGTCATCGACAAGCACGTATTTCAATCCAAAACCTATAGACTATTCAGTTACAAAATCATCTATCTCATGCGAGCCTAGGTATACGACTTCTCCCCTTTCGGTTCTAAAAGTCGCCAATTCAATTAGAAGGTGTTTAATCTACTAATCATATAGAATCAACAACCCTAACTCGACAATTCAATATCCAATCGTTATCAATTGCAAGATCGAAGTGTCACCCTTCGATTATATCAAACTATCAGGCATAAATTCATCAATTCCGAACTAAATCAACTCACATAAGCATGAACAAATCAAATCCCAACAAATACAATTTAAACAAGAACAATCATCCCCTATCCCTATCAATAGGAATTAGCTACGCAAATTGAATTCAACACAATAATTCATTTCTCCCAATTCAACCATTATTCATGAATTAAACAAGAGAAAGAAATACTTGCAATCAATCCAAATTCACGTGTTAAATCCACTTACAAAGCTTAATCCCTAATTATTAAAAAAAAAAAAGAAGAAAAATGGAAGAGAAAGATAACAAGAGGAGGAAAAATGAAGAAGAAAAAGAAGAAGAAGAGGAGGAAGGAGAGGAATGAGAAGAGGAAGAAGAAGGAGAAAAATGAAGGGGGGGAGGCGATTTTCGGACCTAGGGTTCCTCTCCCTTCGAGCTGGTGGTGGAAGAATGGAGAAGAAAACAAGTTTTTGGGGTTCTTATACCATTCTGGGACTTACAGTGGGCCTTAGCGCCGCTAAGGTGCCTTAGCCGTTCGAGCCAGTACCGTGTAGCGCCGCTATCCTGTGTGCCTTAGTGGCGCTAAGGCTCTGGCAACCTGCTGGACTTTGCTTCTCGGGTCCGTTTGGGCTCGTCCGAACTCGGAATTGAGTTCTGTTTTTTCCCACGCGTCGCTAACGAACCCCTCTATTCAATGACGCTTGAATGGCCAAATTATTCTTGAAGTCCAATTCTCTCAAAGCTTATGACCAGCACACTAAAGACACACCAAAGACGTGCTTCGTGCGACTTCGCTTTTTGGGCCCGTTTGGACTTGTCCAAGCTCGAAATTGAGCTCCGCTTCTTCCTATATATCGCCAACAAACCCATCTATGCAACCATGATTGCCCGTTCAATTTTCGAGCAAAATCTCTTCTTCACGGGGCTTCCAGCCTGCACACCAAAAACAAGAAGAAAAAAACCAAAAAAACACACAAAAACACATAGAAGACCAAAATAGAGTAAAACACAAAGTAAACTACAAAAACGACCAAAAACCAACTAAAAGACCTAAAACGGGGGAAAAAGAAAGAAAAAACAGTAACGAAAAACGCAACAAAAATGGGACAAACATCATCCTCTTAGTCATGCGTGTCTGTGACTCCCTTAGCATCATAAGCTCGCCACATCATAGCTACGTGAAGCTCATCCAAATGAGCTCGTTATTTCATTAATTCTATGAGCTCGTCACATCTAAATCAATGTGAGCTCATCATGAGCTCGTCATAACACCATAATAATGAGCTCGTCATTTTCACAAACATTAGGTGCTCGTCCCACATCGAAGTCATCAGCTCGTCACCTTGCAAAATTACGAGCTTGTCTCCTCGTCAAATCACGGACTCATCACATCACCAAACCAAAAACTCAGCCTATCGAGAAAACCTCAAGGTCATCATCTTGCAAAAACACGAGTTCATCCATTGCAAAATCACGAGCTCGTCCCGTCGCGAAATTATGAGCTCGTCACTTCAACAGAATTGCGAGCTCGTCACATCGAACATCCGTGAGCTCGGCGCATCGAAGAACCGCAAGCTCATCATATCAGGGAAACTGGGCTTGTCATATCAAAGATCCTCGAAACCACGACCTCATCACTTTACAGAATCACGAGCTCGTCACGTCATCATCGATCCGATCTCATCAAGTCACAGTCCCGACGAGCTCCGTCACGTCGTCATTGGTCTAAGCTCGTCACGTCACATCGTTCTCGATCCGAGCTCGGCATATCATTACCTCTATGAGCTCTTCACGTCATCAGCGATCCAAGCTCGTCCAGTCATAGCCCAACAAGCTCCGTCACGTGATCATCGGTCTAAGTACCCGGCAATGATGCCTTTAAACCTCGTCTGCCGCACCTAAGTAGCTGGCACCTGCTACTAGCTTGTCATACCGGCAATGATGTGTCTACTTCCAGATCTGGAGTAAACCGGTGGATGTGAGCTCAGATCTGCTTGAACCGCCTCCGAATTGTTGCTAGACCGCGAGATACCTGCAAAAATTCAACGCGGGAGGTGTTTCCGGCGTAGAGCCTTCGACGCTCAAGTCAGTATGAGAGTGATGAAGAGATGCTGCGCAGCAGCTATGGGGGAGAATGGGAATAAATGAGAGTTGGAATTTTAGGGTTACCTCAGCCCCCCTTATATAGGAGAAAACACTTACTTGAAGTACCCAAAATACCCTGGTCGACCTACGTGAAATGTCCGGAATACCCTGGTCGGTTCGTCTCCCCTTCCTGCTGAGTCATCTCAAGATTCCTTCTTATCCTTTGGAGTATATAGAGCTTTAAGTATGTTGCAAGTGTGATGAGTCGTCATCACATCTTCGGTCCTCGAGGTATGCAGAGTCGACTTCGAGAGCTAGGAGGTCGACTTATGAACATGTGAGGATTTCGGAGGCTACGCTTGGTTAATTCTCTCGAATGAAAGTCGTCTTCAGAGAATCGTCTTAGTGAAGTCGACTACTGGGAGTCGACTTAGAGTATCTGGATGCTCAAAAGCTATGCTCTTGTTGTTCTTCCTATATAGATGTCGACTAATGGAAGTCGACAGACTGAGGTCGACTTGCAAGAGTCGACCGGATAGATTTCTGTCCTTTCTTGGTCGCTCTTTGTTGTGATCTCCGTGTGATCTCCGTGCGATGCCCATCCAATCACCCATTCCCATCCAATCGAGATAATTCGGTGAATTTTTTTTTTTCTGGGAACAATGAATTGTTTGTTGGAATCATAAAACAAACATCATTTTTAGTTTTAGAAATTCTTCGGCATACATACTATAAATTCAAACATCCAAAATGGGTCATTCTTTTTTCTGATCTCATTGGTAATCAGCCTTCAAAAGAGTCTTTGCCAAGCACATACTGTCCACATGTATTTTTCAAGCACAGCCCATTTCTGGTCTTCGCTCTTCGCTCCTCACTTCATAGTTCTCTCTCTTTCAGATGATCGCTGGCTTCTCTTTCACTTGCCACAATGGTTCCTAAGCATCTGTTAACCGGAATTCATACCCTAGCCCGACCCATTTGTCATAGCGCACGACCCACAAATCTCTGCTCATATCCTGAATTTCTTCATAAGCTCCAAACCAGGCATTATTCAATTGAACCGCCCCCAGTCACTCTGGCTTTCTCTTCTCCGCTAGCCTCCACTTCAAATCCAAAGAGCTCTCTGAATGAAGCTGAGCTACAAAAATTTGCGGCAATTTCGGGGACATGGTATGTTTCTTTTCATATTTTAATATTTCTCCAAGTTTAATTTGGTGATTCTTTGTTAATTCATTTAATTTTTACTGAATTGGTATTAGGTGGGATGGTGAAGGTCCGTTTAAGCCATTGCATGTGATGAACACAACGAGGCTTGCTTTTATTAGGTCGACATTGTGCCGGCATTTTGGGTAATTTTAACTTGTGCTCTTGAAATTTAGTCCACATCTTTTACTCTATGTACATTCAATCTTGTATATTTGTCCTGTACATGGCATATTGAGGCTGACTAGTTCATGATATCTTAGACTATCTTCTCTAGTAATAAATCATACAACAGCAAATGACCTTTATCAGCCCACTACCGATTTTTAGAATTCTCTTTACAAGTAGTGATTGGTTGATTGTATGTAGCTTCATTAGTTTTTGATGAAGTTGAAGCCATTAATTTGTATACATTTCGTGGTCGTTCGTCGATTATGACTAATCTAAGCTGGTGGAAACTTGAAAATAAGATTGGGTCTGATATTGAGAAAATAGATTAAATGATTAGTCTCTGTACCTATCTATACCTACTTATCTGTACCTATTTGCTGTAAGAAAATATACATTCAAAACTTAGTCAATCTGTAACTGTTTTGTTAATCTTCAGTAACCGTAGATCCTATTACCTTTTCATTTTTCGATTGATTGGAATGCACTCTGCTAGGACTTTAGAATTTCTCTTCCTCTGCCTACACATTTCACTATCCATGCATTTACAGTGCGTACACACTCTCCCAGAAAAAGAAGGAAGGGAAAAAAAATAAAAAAACAAAGAGAGAAAGGGAAGAAGTAACAATTATTGATTTGCATCTAATACTTTGCATGCTATCCAGGTTATTGAGCACGTGGCAGATCCTTCTGATAGTGGAATGTTTTCTCTATGGTTCTTTTGGATCTTCATTTCTTTTCTCTTTACTTCTCTATGTTTTACCTGATCCATATATTTATTTATTGGGACTGAGGGTATTGACCAAAATGAGCGGGCATGATGACAGTACAGTGGGGCATAATGTCCATCTGTGGGCTAAAATTCCAACAGTTTGATAAAAAATCATTTACTCATTGACATCATAGTGATCAAAAGAGCACCTAGATAAGGTGAAAAAGGCAAGAAAAGGCTATTATTTGTACTTGGCGTCGTTCAGGTATTTGCCTACTGGCTCAGGTAATGAGGCAATCTCACCTTAGGTTCGCATCTTTTATTGACCACCGTGGATGGGTAATGGTGTTGGAGCTCTCCTTAATTTGTTGATGCTTTTTTTATGTGGTATTGGCCACAGTTACTGACATTTAACTTTTGCTAGATCAAATAATTACTTATTTGAAAAATGTGTACCTTTTGAACTTCTAAACAATATTCTGCAGAAGCTGATGAAATTGCTTGCTACTTTGGCAGAAAAATTGGTGGAAGAGTAGAGCAAATTTGATGCTGTACTTGCACTGGAGGTAAGATATTAATTTGATTTTAATGGAGTTTTATTAATATGATCTAAGAGTTATCAGTCATTAGGGGCATGATTGTATATAATTTCAACAGTAAATATCTCACTCAAAACTCAAATTTAACTCAATCTTAACTCAACTCTACTATCTCCAATATTATCAATATAATTAAATAATATCAACCAATCATTATTACACATCACATCAACTTTAATTCACTATTCATTCACTCACATAATTTTAACTAACTATCACTTCCAATTATTTTCTCCTACTTTTACATCAAATCAACTTTAATTATTTTAATTTAAATATTATTTTAATATATCCACTAACAACTAACCATACTACTTTTTTAAAACTTAACTATAGTTAAAAAAAACTAGTTTTTTACTAGTTGAATTCATATCTAATCACCCCTAGGCAACTTGTGTTATAGTTACTGTTTTGTTAATCTTCAGTAACCATAGATCCTATTACCTTTTCATTTTTCGATTGATTGGATGCACTCTGCTAGGACTTTAGAATTTCTCTTCCTCTGCCTACACATTTCACTATTCATGCATTTACAGTGCGTACACACTCTCCCAGAAAAAGAAGGAAGGGAAAAAAAATAAAAAAACAAAGAGAGAAAGGGAAGAAGTAACAATTATTGATTTGCATCTAATACTTTGCATGCTATCCAGGTTATTGAGCACGTGGCAGATCCCTCTGATTTCTTCAAATCCTTGTCTGCATTGACCAGTTTTGGTGGAGCTACGGTTATCTCCACAATAAATCGATCCATGAGAGCATATGCAACTGCCATCCTCATGGCAGAATATGTGCTACACTGGTATTTTATTCCATCCTGTTTTAGCTAGTAAGGTTGTATTACTTTTATGTCCAAAACTTGTCCTTTATAGCCATTGATGATGCCAGTGTTGTTTAGTAAGTTTCCCCTATGTACAGAAAGCATATTGAACTTATTGGCCTTCCATTATTATTTTTTTACCTTTTCTCAAATTCTTTTTTATATGATGCATGAGTCCTCAAAGAGTCCACTCGGTGTCAAAAAATGCTGGAAAATGTAAACTTGGACTTTGGCCATATATAGGAGAATACAAAAAATTGTATCAATAATTTATAGATTCTAGACGAATAGTATGTTTTTAAGTAATTTGTATTCCGTGATTTCAGTGGGTACAGAGCTTTACATTTTCATCTTCTTTTCATCTCTTTCATTTATTAATTTTATTTTTGTGTTTTTTGTGTTTATCTTATTTGTTCAGCAGGTCCTTCGAGTCACTTGATTCTTTTTTCTTGTCTTCCTCTCGAGTCCTTTAGTTATTAGACTTACGTTGATGACTTATGCATCTTACTTGAGATTCTAGTGTGTTTTCTTTTTTCTTTTGTTCTCTTTTATACATAGTTTTGACAAATACCCTCGACTTTAGTCTATAAGAACAAAAGAACATATCTTATGACTAGAATCATATGTCGTGTGTTAAGGAAACCTAGTAAAAACACATCCTAGTTTTAATTGAAGAGGTGTCTCAAAATAATTCCCATAAGATTCTTCATCTTCTCATTGTTTTGGCATGTCAACTTTTTCAGCTTCCAAGAGGCACACATCAATGGTCGAGCTTCCTGACGCCAGAAGAACTAGTCCTTATTCTTGAGCGTGCCTCTATTTCAGTGAGTCACAAAAGGCTTGTTATCTTTTACTGGAGACACTTTTTTTCCCTTTTTAATATGAAATTGTTGTTTTCCCTTCCCTTTGTATCCAGGTCAAAGAGATGGCTGGGTTTGTTTATGACCCTTTGACTGGGAGATGGTCCCTTTCTGCTGACATCAGTGTAAATTTCATCGCTTATGGCACTAAGAACGGTGAATAGTAACCTGACATCCCGTTTCTTGTTATGTAACTTTGTTGAGTTACACCGTATAATTTGTTTTGATTTCCTTTCTTTCCCCTCCTCTGCACGTCTTTTATTTTTATTTTTTTCCCGTGTCACAACTAGGCTTATAAACAAAATGATTTTTTTTATTCGATTCGATATTCGAATTCGAATACAAATAATGTTTTATATTCGAAAATTAAATAAATCCAAGTTTGAATATGGAGATATTCGATTTGTTAGCGATAATTATATAAATTTATAAATTATATATAATATATTTTATTTATAATATATATATATATAGGGATTAGTTCCAATGCATCCAGTTATTTAAAGTGAGGACGTGAGACTCATTTTTAGCCACAAGATTTGGTACATCATGTGTGGCCAAGATTTATTATTTTCTTTTTATTATTTTAATTATTTAAATATTATTTTGACCCGTTGACTCCGGTGTTGACCGTTGACTTCCGGCGAAATCCGTTGACTTTCGGCGTTGACCGTTGACAATTAACCTTCCAATTAGGTTAGTTCTATGTAATTGCTAGTTTTTTTTTTTAAAAAAAAAACAAACAACGCCTCAGAAGGGCGGGGGATTGGGCTGGATCCCCAACCTGTGCATAGATCAAGACCCCAAAACGGGGGCCCAAAATATCAATTGTCTACAGTCTACAGAGTCTCACAAGCAACACAAAAAAGAAATAACAATACAAAGTCTGTCTTCGGGCTAACAGGTGCCCGGTAATAACAGTCTAATCTACTAAAAGCAATAAAACTAAACTACTGAAAGCGGAATGATGGATATCCAAGCTCATCCATCCGTACAAGCGTGTGAAGGCGGAGTGGAGCAGTGTCGGTCTGAAACGTATGTGGGTCTGCTATGGTGGCGCCAAGGCTGGCAAGGTAGTCCGCGGGTCTATTCCCCTCACGGAAAATGTGTGTGATCCTGTGATGGACAGACCGGAGTAGAGCTCTAATGCGCATAAGCGGGTGCTGAATCTGCCACGAGCCCTGGTGGCCCGAAGTCAGGAGGGTGGCGACAGCCGCAGCATCCAGCTCGATCTAAATATGACTAGAGAGGTGGACAACGATCTGAAGGCCAATCTGTAGTGCCTGAATCTCTGCGTCGTAGCTCGAGGAGGCCTGAAGGGGCGCGTGGAATGCGGTGATGAGGGCGCCGCTATGGTCCCGGATCAAGCCTCCTCCTCCGGCAACTCCGGTATGGCGATCAAAAGAGCCATCAGTGTTCAGCTTGACCCACGGAGAGTCAGGTCGAAGCCAAACAACAGCTCTGGGCCCAGGGGCCGAACAGGCGGTGGGGGAGCCACCATGTAACGGTGTGGCGGCGTGCAGCCTTGATGAAGGATCGTGTGTTACGTCTAGCTCGACTCGCTCAAAACCCGCGGCGACGCCTTGGTCCCTCTGCGATAGGTTGCTAATACGCGCACCGACGCCTTCGTACTTCGCGATAAATGTGACGAAACTCGGATGTTGGTCCTATTCCAATCACTGTGACGAAACTTGGATGTTGGTCCTATTTCTATCACGAACTCTATGTAAACTCACAAGAGAAAACACACGAGAACTTTGAACACAATGTTCGACTCTTTATTTACTCATCAACCATATTTTCAAATGGTACATATGTGGGTATTTATAAATACCAAATAGATCTAATCCTAGTCTAAATAGAACTCCTAATTTGTGCAAGTAAATAAATCCTAATGCAACTAAATATCTAAGGAATAAAGATTTTTCTAACAATTAAAAGACTAATAGGCACATGCCTTTTATTTGGACTCCTAACCAAACTAAGACTCCTAACTATACTAAGTAAATCATATGCCAAATCCTTTGCTTGCCCGCCAAGTCGTCGCGCGCCCCAAACCCTAACCGTCCGTGTCGCGCGCCGCCTCGCTAAGCCTATTTGCAACACCCCGCTAACTAGGGCCATTTTTTTTTTCGCAAATTTAAACTCTTTCGAAAACTGCTTATAAATTTTTCGAAATCATTTGCAAACTATCTCGGGATGCTGCTAAGGACTTTTCTTGCTTAAAAACCCGTTTCTTTAACCTAGGTCTAACAACTGGTTTAGACTTAAAGAAATCAGGTTTATATTTTTACGAATCATGCATATTAGTCTGGACCAGTTCGTACTGGCGAACCGAGTAAAATTATCTAAGTCTGAAAATAGCATCATGCATGTTCAAAAATAAACACAAGCATAGCGGAAGTCTGAAATGCGTGGAATTATTTAGTTTACAAACAGTTTAAACAAATGTCCCGGGAACAGCTTTCGTGCGGAACTCACGACCACCACCACCACAGCTCGTCTCACGCCTGCCCTAGGACCCTGTCATCTGAAAATATAAAGTGGGGGTGAGTACGGTCCACTTGTACTCCATAAAAACTCATTCTAAAGTAAACAGCAATATTAATAATGATATCGCAAACTGGTATATATAAGTAAACTGAAACTCCCGGAACTCTCTGGCCGGTAACTCCCGGAACACTCTGGCCGGTAACCGTGTGCACACTCTGATGGTATAACTAGGGCAAACTGGGCCACCACCAGAACTTAGGGAAGGCAAACTTGGCCTTAACCCAAAGTGGATAAAACTCATATACATACCTGAACGTGATATCGACTATTAAACTCAATGTATAACCCAGACTGGGTCCCCACCTGATCGGTTTTGAAAATAAGTAAGTGCGGCTGTGCTAGTAGCTGACTCCTCAAGCTACAATAAAAATATAAACAAACAAATATACTAAGTACTATGCTCGTCATATGCTCAAAAATATGCTAGGATGCTCTACTCTATCAGATTACTCATTCGGATATAAAGGAACGCTCTAAGGGTTCACAAAAATAATTCTAAGTCCGGAAATAATACTGATATGCTTAACTGATCTGGTTTGGCTCGGAAAAATACTTAAGTTTTGGAATAAGACTCGGACCGAAAATCACGAACCAAAACGGACTCGAACCGCCGGCTAAACCGGCCGGTTTGCTAACTGGCTGAACCGGGTCGGGCTGGACCGGACCGGGTTGGACCACCGGTTCACACTGTACCGGTTGGTCACGGGCTGCTCGGGCGGGCCGGGCTCGGTCCCGTGCCGGGCCTGCTGGGGCCATGGCACGGCGCTGGGCACGAGCTGGGTGCGACCGGGCACGGTACTAGGCGCTGCTGGGCGCGGGCTGTGCGGCTGGCACGGGCCCTGGCACGACTGGTGCCACTAGGTGCGGCTGGGCACGACCGAGAGTCACTGGGTGTGCTGGCGTGCTGCTGGGCACGGTCGAGCACGAGGGACGCGGGAACTGGCGCGTACCCGGGTTGACTGGGCACTGGGCGTGCGGCTGGCACGACCCGAGTGCGACTGGCGCGAGAAC